TTGATTGATTGATTGATTGATTGATCAGTTAGTAAACATTGTGCCTCAGATTAACCTCAGGTTCGCTGACCCCATGAGAGAGTGTTTGGTGCATTGTGCCCAGAACGTGGATGGTTTTCTGGGGTTAGTGTGGGACAAGATTGAGAGTAATCAGGGAGAACAGGGCAGGCCTTAGGACCTGGGGGAAGCAGTCAGGAGATGGGGTGGGGCCAGAAGCCCAGCTGGAAGGGAAGGGTGGGGACAGAGGAGGAAGTCAAGGGGAAAAGAGGGTCAAGGCAATGGAGGTCTTGGTGAGCCCAATGATTAGCATGATGAGCTACTGTGCTTGATGGCGGATGGCAGACGTCCATCCTCTTATTGTGAGTCCAGCTTTCTTCCTTCACCACGAGGATAACAGGGCTTTGCTATCCCAAGCATCATTCAGAAAAGCAGTTTGCACAGCCCACTGGGGAAGATAAAACAACAAAATCGGAAACTGTAACAATTAATTGCACTTTCATTCAAAATCTGATTGAAACTATTTACCGTATTTTTCACTCTATAAGATGCATTTTTCCCCTCCAAAAAAGTAAGGGGAAATGTGTGCGCGTCTTATGGAGCGAATGCAGGCGGGAGGCTCTGCTCAGCGCTCCCTTTAAAAAGCCGCATGGAGTGTGTGTGCTGCTCTTGGGGGCTTTTCCCCGAGGAGGGAGAAGGACTGCGCTTCCTTCTCCTCAGGGAAAAGCCCCCAAGAGCCGCACACATGCTCCGCGCACTCTTTAAAGGGAGTGCAGCTCTTGGGTGAGCCTTCTGCCTTAGCCGTGCACAGCCTCTTCCAGGCAGGGGGAGCCTTCATCCCCCTGCCTGGGAGAAGCTGTGCACGGCTATCCTATAAGCCAGGACAGCAAGAGGCTATCCCAGAAGCCAGATCCCTCTTGCTGTTCTGGCTTCTGGGATTCAGAATATTTTTTTTCTTGTTTTCCTTCTTGTACATCTTATAGAGCGAAAAATACGGTAGCTGAACTACCCGTATTTTTTGCTCTATAACACGCACCCGACCATAACACACACGTAGTTTTTAGAGGAGGAAAATCCGTAGGCATGCCACCCGTAGGCATTCCCTCCATAACACGCACAGACATTTCCCCTTACTTTTTAGGAGGAAAAAAGTGAGTGTTATGGTGCAAAAAAATACGGTAACTCAGCAAAGCTGATGAACTCGATCTAGCCATTTGCACCTCCAGCACCAGCACCCAGCCGCCCCTTGCTTCTTAACACCCCCTAGATAATGCCACCCACTCCAGAGGCGGGTTCTGCCAACTTTGGGAACCGCTGCCCAAAAGTTTGTTCCGTCATTTCCCCCCCAGAAAAAGCATGTCATCATCTCTTTTTGTTTTTCGCCGAGCGTAATCCCAGCGCCCGCTCTCCTCTCCAGCTCTCCGGGAGGGCACGCATGAAATATTTATAAAGAGCGTGACTGCCTTTCTGCAGACTCCTTTCGGGAACTATAAATCCATCTCCCCGTTGCCTAGAACCACACACCAGCTGCTCTTGGGTTCAGTTTCCGGCATGCGCTGAGTTCACTCTCACTTGCTCGTCTGCTTGATGAGCAGCTGGAAAACTTCAGCAAAAGTGGGACTGAGCTCAAATGGATGCTCTGTTGTTTCGCTGGCGCCCGTGGTCTCAGCTGCTTTCTCCTTGGCTGCCGTCATTCAGGCACTGCCGGGCGCAGCTGTCGGGCGGCGGCGAGGGCATTCATTCTGGGCATGTGCCCGATTTCCTCCTGCGGGGCTGGATCTTGACAAGGCCCTTTGATTCTCTGCCCGACACAAAATGTCTATGTTGGCATCCGTGGGCATCGACAGCAGTGCTCATTCAGTTGGTTCAGGGCAGTTTGGGGTCTCACTAGGCAAATACGAATTGGACCCTCTGTTGGCATGACCAGTCAGAGGGAACAACGTCCAGCAGGCAGGGCTGGAGATGAGAGCTGGATTAGGTTCATCGTCCAATTCCACAGCATCGGCACAGATCAAGGTGCTGGGAAAATTCCTCTACAAAGAAAGGTTGAAATATTTGGGACTTTTTAGTTTGTTTTTAAAATAATGATAAGTAAGGAGGATGTATCAGATCAAGCATAGTGTGGAGAAATGTAGACAGGGAGACATTTTTTCTCACTGTCTCATAATATTAGTAGACCATGTATACGTGAAGGAGCACGGGTGATGCTGTGGTCTAAACCACCAAGGCTCTTGGGCTTGCTGATTGGAAGGTCCGGGGGTTCAAATCCCCGTGACAGGGTGAGCTCCCATTGCTCTGCCAACCTAGCAGTTCGAAAGCACACCAGTGCAGGTAGATAAATAGGTATCACAGCGGCGGGGAGGTAAACAGCATTTCCGTGTGCTCTGGTTTCCATCACGGTGTTCCGTTGCACCAGAAGCGGCTTAGTCATGCTGGCCACATGACCTGGAAAGCTGTCTGTGGACAAACGCCGGCTCTCTTGGCCTGAAAGCAAGATGAGCGCCACAACCCCATAGTAGCCTTTGACTGGACTTATCCGTCCGGGATCCTTTACGTTTTTACTTACCTGAAGGAGCATCTCTACCCCCATCGTTATATAACCCTCGGCTTATAGAGTGAGAAGAGCCGCAACCCCAGAGTCATTCGCTACTGGACCTAACGGTCAGGGGTACCTTTACCTTTACCTTTGTGCTACTGGACAATTTTTTTGTTTTTTTTATGTATTTTGACTGTGTCGGACCAACACGGCTCCCTACCTGAACCTGTGAGATAGATTAGGCTGAGAGTCAGCGGCTGTACCCCAAGATCACCTAGTGAACTTCTCGACTGAGTGAGGTTATCTGAACCCCGGCCTCTCCCAGGTCCTAGTACAGGCTTCCTCAACCTCAGCCCTCCAGATGTTTTTGGCCTACAACTCCCATGATCCCTAGCTAGCAGGACCAGTGGTCAGGGATGATGGGAATTGTAGTCTCAAAACATCTGGAGGGCCGAGGTTGAGGAAGCCTGTCCTAGTAGGACACTCTTAACCACACCAGCCAGCGCTGCTCTTAACTCCCCCAGAACTTGGTTTCCCGCTGCCTCCAGCTCCATCTTCCCTTTCCTGCGGCAGCCCAGATTAAAGAGGTCTCCCTTGCCTTTCCTGCATCCCCGCTCTCTGCAATGCTGGCACCCGATTCCTTCCCCCTTCTGCCCCAGGAGATTTGGTTGCTGAACTCAGCAGGTGGCTGCAGGCGCCGTCGACGAGGCACCTGTCAGCTATTTTGGCTCCTTCTCCTTCTCCGTTTCCCCTAATTATAAAATCGCGGCAGCGCTGGCGTTAGGGGCCTTATCCGGGTATGTGTGTGTGCGCACCACTGTGTGGGGGTGCACTGCGCGCGAAATGTCAAATTGAAGAAATTAAAAATGTAAATGACGGAGCCTAATTAACCAGTTGACAGCGGAGCACAGCTGCCGGTGACAGTGACTGATTACCTTCCGCAAATCTTGTCCTCGAAGGCCTGCCATACTTTGGGGGTGGAGAGGAGGGAGGGGGGAAGGAGGGCATCCAAAATAGCAACTGCCTTAAAGTGACAGCCTCTTGCCGTACGCAAACATTTTGCACTGTATATGGGACTGTGCCAGGACTGAGCTTGGGCTCTAGGAAGCCATTTCTGAGCCCTAGACCTGGATGGTGGTGTTTTCAAATTCAGAGTCGCTGGTGTTAATTGCTGGAGCCTGAAGTCCAGTTAGCAGTGGCGGCTGGTCTATTAGCTTAAAAAGCTTCAACCAGGCTTCGCCTTCACAGAAACCCCAAAACAAGAACAGAAATGCAATTGCGGAAGGATTTCTGGATTGCGGACTTTCAGAGTTCTGCCCCCACCTCCGTCTCAGAGTTACCAGGTCACAGTGTTGCAGAGACAGTATGTACATCTGTCCTTTATTTCTATTTTTTAGAATTCACAACTACGTTTCAAAACAACAAGCCTATGCAAAGTGACTTGAAATATTAAACCGGCACTATAACAGGGGAATTCTGTTGACATAAATGCAGCTAAAAGGAATGCAAACTCAGTACAGTCGTACCTTGGTTCTCAAACGCCTTGGTACTTGTACATTTTCGCTCCCGAACGCCAAAAACCCGAAAGTAGGTGTTCCGGGTTTCAAACGTTTTTTGGAAGCCGAATATCCAATATGGCTTCTGCTCAAGTGCAGGGAGTTCCTGCAGCCAATAGGAAGCCGCGTCTTGGTTTTCGAACGGTTTCGGGAGTCAAACGGACTTCCAGAACGGATTATATTCGAGAACCAAGGTACGACTGTATAGTAAGCAATTCCCCTGTAAAAACAATTCTTTTTTTAAAAAAAGATATTTATTAAAGTTTTCAAAGTATTACAAAAAAGAAAGATAAAAAAGAGAAAATACAAAATAAAAATAGTTAAAAACAATTTGATCTTTCCGTATCTTATCTTTCATTTGCCTGTTTCCCGGACCTCCTCACACCTCCCTTTTTTGTATTCCAGTTCAATTTATTGGTTCAGCAAATCCTTTCCCTCTTTGTTTTATCCTGATCTTTAATCTTAATATATTATAGCTTTAGATTATCACCTGTTAACAATCCATTTTTTCATATTCCTTTATAACATTACCGCTAAAAACCACTTAACTTCAATCCAACATCATTCTAACATTCATTAATTTTGCAATATTTCTGTAAATAGTCTTTAAATTTCTTCCAATCTTCATCCACCGACTCTTCTCCCTGGTCTCGGATTCTGCCGGTCATTTCCGCCAATGTAAAAACAATTCTTCACTAAAGCAAGGCTTTTTTTTAAAGCCTTTTCGAAACAAGAAGGTCTGCAGAGCGCACCTGACAAGCGGGTTTGGCAGATCTCCCCGGGGAATGAGTTCCACGGTCATGGGGCCAGCGCTAAGAAGGCCCCATCTCTAGTTCTTGCCAATTGGAACTGGCTTGTTAGTAGAACTCTCTCCGACACAACACTTAAACGGCCTCTTTGATCCCCCCCAGGTACTACTCAGATATCGGCAAGATGCCAGCTATCAGCGACCAGGACATGAACGCCTACCTGGCTGAGCAATCCCGCATGCACATGAATGAATTCAACACAATGAGCTCGCTCTCGGAGATCTATTCCTATGTGGGCAAGTACAACGAAGAGGTGAGATGGGCTGGGGACAGGGAGGAGAAGCACCCGATCACGGCTGCCACAAGGGGCGGAAGGATCTGTCGATTTTGGTTCTAATTTTTAACTTTTTTTACCTTTCTGCAATTTTTTTTAATTTAAAAAATTCCTCTTGAAAATTCTTCTAGCATTTTTATGTGATTTCCCCCCCTTCCCCAATAAGCCACTTTTGGTGTGCAGTTTTGACCAGCATTCACATTTTTGTAAACCGTTTCTCACACACATTTTCCTCCCAATGTATGCATCTATGTAAACATTGCCAAGCTGGGAAACTGAATCGCAGAATTCGGATAAGTGTGAATTCTGAAGGCTGGATGTATTCCAGTCCGCATATTGTTTCAGAAGGTACAATTCTGACAAATTCAGCTTTAAACGTGAACTGAATCAAACTCGCCATGCTTCTGGATTTTTCACAGTGTCCCATGGTTTGTGGGATGAAAGGCCAGCAGCCTCAGACCTCCAGAACACATTTAATTTCATACAATGTCTACTGTGAATAATGTATATGCCTAAAACTCCCACCACCCAAAGTACAATAGAACTTCCTTTGCATGTCTGGACCCCTTGGCAAGTTTGGTGATGGGATTAGGCTTTCCTTGGCCAACAATCAGCTCAGCAATTGTCACCTCTGGGCACTTCCTGGAGTCCCTATTTTTCAAGGGCAAAATGGTGTTGGAATGGAGGAAACTGGCAAAGGAGTTGATTTTATATGATTGTTAAAGCTAGGTAGAGACACGGGTGGCACTGTGGGTTAAACCACAGAGCCTAGGACTTGCCGATCAGAAGGTTGGCGGTTCGAATCCCCGCGACGGGTTGAGCTCCCATTGCTCGGTCCCTGCTCCTGCCAACCTAGCAGTTCGAAAGCACGTCAAAGTGCAAGTAGATAAATAGGTACCACTCTGGTGGAAAGGTAAACGGCGTTTCCGTGTGCTGCTCTGGTTTGCCAGAAGCGGCTTAGTCATGCTGGCTGTACGGCGGCTCCCTCGGCCAGTAAAGCGAGATGAGCACCACAACCCCAGAGTCGGCCACGACTGGACCTAATGGTCAGGGGTCCCTTTACCTTTACCTAAAGCTAGGTAACTTCCCTGAGTTGCCAAGTTGAAAGGATACACTGATGCATAATATTTGTAACGTTTAACAACTTTAAAGATGTGCCCCCCACACCCCGTAATTTCCGTAACACGTTTGACATGACCAGCTTCAACCATTAAGACATCTCTCTTCTGCCTCTCTTCCACAGATCCTTGGAGCCCTTGATCAAGATGACCAGGCCGGGAAGCAAAAGCTGGCCTACAAACTTGAACAAGTTATAACCCTCATGAGCATAGACAGCTGAGAACTGCCCTACCAGGGGACTCCCTGGGAGGGATTTGAAACAAACATACAAACAAAACCAAGCCGTGCCTCAGTCAAGAACATCCTCTTTACCAAGTGCAAGTTTCTGATTGGCCGTCGAGCGGAGTCACCGGAAACAGCTCTCGACTCCTCTAAGGCTCGCCCGCCAAACATATGGACGCCAAGCAACTAGGCCTCAAGGACTTGAGGGACGTCTCTGCGGACGGATCCCTTAGTGCGGGGACCATACAGGTGGAGCTCCCTCGTCCACAGATTATTCCCGCCCCCTCTTCTGCCTTCTCCCTGGAGCATATCGTCATATCATCCGTTAACAGAGCGGACTGCCCTGGTTCGCCTCTGTCGATGCTGCTTTTACTGGCTCCCTGCGGGCTCGGAACCGTGGAGCGGGAAACTAAACTCAGTGTTATTTCGAAGCTGCGCCAAGGCAGGACTATCGCTCTCTTGCCTCTGGAGACCCCGGCAGAGTGGGAACGAACTTGGTTTTTCCCTCCCACTCAGCAGTGCTGCCGCACCCCACTCTTCATCCTATGGGGAGGACCCCAGTGACTTTTACCCCCCCCCTCTCCTTGGGACTGGCATGGCAGAGGGGTCCCTGTGCCCTGTGAGCTAACCGTGTTGTCAGCTGCTCTTCTGGGATTGGGTGGAGAAGGAAGGAAAACCACATATTCCCCACTCCACAATTTTCATGCATTCATCTACTTTTTGTTTTTATGGGTCATCCTCATTTTCAACCTGTGCCCCACTGACTGTGAAACTAAAAGGCAGCCACATACAAGCACACACCTTTCTTTCCCTGAAACAGCACCTGTCTCTTCTCTTTTTGCTTCAGATGCATCTCAGTGGGGGCATTTATATCCCTTCCCAAACCAGCGCAGCTTCACGTTGTGCAGTGAGGCACTCTCGCCGTTGCAACCGGAAGCAGTCCCCTCCCTCGCTTTTTCTGTACGATCCCAGGCCGCAACTTTCTGTATCTTTCTGGCTAACCATCCCAAACAATAGAGCACAAAAGAAATAACAAGAAGCCTTTGATCTAGACACAGCACAGAGTTAAACCCAGAAATAAGTACCAGCATTAAAGAGATGACAAGAGGTTGCACCCCAGGATTGGGGTAGGGTTCAGTAAGAAAAGAGGGCCCCTCCTAAGCATATTTATTCTTTCTTTAGTAGTAGCAACAGACCTAATGGATGTTCAAAAACAGGAGGGAGTGTTTATCATTTGCAAGGATGATTGGCTGGGGCAGTGTAGCCTGTGCAATGCTTTTGCCCGCAAAATTGCAGCTGGAACTGGATTGATTCGGCATGTTCTTCTTCTTTGGTTTGATGCATTCATGTAATCATGTAAACACATTCCAACCAGAGCAGAGCAACTTTGCATTGCATTTAGTTTAATGACAGAATTCAGCCATGCTGTCTTGTTGAAATCAATGAGACTCAAAGGCTTCCCTCCTGACTGGGCCATGTCCCAAATTTGGAAAGCTGGAGCTAAATGCTGGTCCAGAGCTTTTTGCACACTTAAACACAGCCCCTCACGCATTTCAGAATCAAAAGTACAGAATCAAGTACAGAATCAAAACGCACACTCCTGGCGTTGGCATCTGCCTGCCGAAGCTTGATGGATCCAATCCACTGTACTGGAGACCATTGAAATAAATAAACAAGCTTCAGCTTTCTTTAAGTCTGTGCTGAGTCATCACGACACATATTTAGCATCAATTTTGGGTCTATCTCCAGTGCTCTTTGGAGAGTAGAAAAAGAAACCCGAGTTTCGTTGATGAAATTTGCATCCTGTCAAAATTAGCATCTATTGTTAAACTCAACAGTGTTTGAGTTTCCGATCTGAATGAATTTCCATTTTGGCACCGACACAAATTCGTTTTGCCTGAAATAAGAGGTGGGCAAAATATAAGCAGAAGACACCTGTGTCACAGTGACATGGAGAGCTGCCTTATAGCAGGTCAGACTGTTTATCCCCATGTTGTTTACCCTGATCTGCAGCAGCTCGCTGGCGTTTCAGACGAGAGGCTTTTCCCCTCCCCTGCTGCTCACTTGGGTTTGTTTTCCAGCTGCACATGGCAGGAATTGAATTTGCAACCTTCTGCATGCCAAGCATGGGCTCTGCTGCTGAGCAATGGTCCACCCTGAAGTCTAGATTCCGCAACGGCAGTTATGAGTCGCTCTGCAACACCAGACATTGACACTACCTTCCTGGAGTAAATATTTTGCCAAGTAGGCAGTCTTGTACCAATGCTCAAAAGCACCATATAGCAAAAGGCGTTAATTCCATTGGTGCATTTCCCAGAGAGAGGCTCAGCAACAAGCCCAGCAAGGTGTAATTCCCAAACTCCTGGGCTATGGGCAATAATGACACGGTTCACTTCAGCGCTCCTCTGCCTTGTTCCAGGGCTGCCCAACCTCACTGTGATATCAGAGCTGGTCGTCCGATGGCTGGTCATTCGGAGGCGAGGCAGGCAGAGAGGTCAGAGGTTAAGGATGGGAGTGTAGGACCAGGACAAGCTGCAGAAGCACTCAATCTTCTTTCTCCTATTTTTCACTGTGAAATAACCGTGCATTGGGTCACTTTGCCGTCAATGTGACGCAGATCCTACCCATCACAACTGTGCTGTGAACATGTTTGCGAGGATTAAAGGGAGATCAGAAAGTCCCATTCCCACCCTGTGCAACCACGGAGCTTAGGGGGAATGCTTTTAACCTGGCCCAACAGTCGTTTGTTTGCATGCATGTCTCCATTCATTCCATCTCCATTTCTTTTGGCCTTGAGTCAGCTAACATTGGTGTGCAGTACAGGATTAACCACTAGGCTATGTCAGCTTAAAAACGGCTTCTGTTATATCTACGTATCTGAGAGTGCCTCTGGATGGCGAATGCCTCCATCCTGCTTCTTTAGAAATCCCCATCCTTTACATTTCCCTTATCCCACGACAGGTGTGAAATGACCCTGTCCTTCTTAGTGCAGGAATTTAAGTTACGGGCTGATACTGGTCGGAGGAGCAGAATCATGGAGCCTGGTACGTTGCAGGGGGCAAAAGTGGGACCTCCGCAATTGCTTCTGCAGGGTTGTGCGGATACAGGGGAAGAGCAGGGTTCACGGGACCAGAATCCAGACGTTGTTGCTCATTTCCGCAATATCTAGAGGGTGGAGAAGTCCTGATTTACCATCACAGAATTTACACTTTATGCTTGTTCTCCTGGATCGCCGACGGACGGAAATGGCGAACGGATGGAAAGCTCCGGGCTAGGAGAGAGAAAAAGTTTGTCTCGAATACAGAAAACGCTTTTAGACGTGGAAAAACCAAAGGTTTTTGACAAGCGAAGTGCCACAGGTGACGAAGGTGGGAGATGCCCCCCCCTCCGCATGGCTTTCTCCGATTCTAAAATGAAAGCAAAGCTGGTGGGAGAGATTCCCAGAGCATGTTTGGGACCTGGTTTGTTTGCACACACGAGGAAGGAGAAGGTGGGTTGGGTACATCCGAGGGGGAGGAGATGTTGGGGTTGGGGAAAACAAGACCACATGATTTTGCACAGCTGATGAGGAGGAAACAGGAAGGAACTGAGACTCCGCATGCTCCTGGTTTAAAAGGGTTTTTTTAAAAAAAAAAGTCGATGGTTTTGTTTTTTAACATTTTTTTGCTAGCACAGACTCGGTCAGGTTTTTGTTTCAAACTTGAGCCCCTCAAAGGAATGAACAGAACGTATCAAAATAACTTGTCAGAAACAGGAAGCAGTGTGCGAACGTCCGCACCCCTAGCCCCCCACCCCATCGATTTCCTCTTTTCTCAGACCTAGGCGTTTGAAACAAATCTCTATTTTGGTTCTTTTTTTATTTTTGTATCTCAGAATTCATATTTGTTGTTTCTTAGTTGATTTCTTTCTTTTCTTTTCAACCTTGGAATTGTGCCACAATTGTGATGTGAATGTGTGAGCTCTTATCCCACCAAGCGCCTCTGTCTGCAGTCTTGGCTTCTAATTCCCCTCTTCATTTTCTGTTTATGTGTATGTAACCTACAAATGAAGGAAGCAGATGGAATAATGCATTATTCTTTGATTTCAAGGATGAGCAGATATCAATACCCAATACAGTGGTACCTCTGGTTGCGAACGGGATCTGTTCCGGAGCCCTATTCGCAACATGAAAAGAACACAACCCACAGCAGCACGTCTGCACACGCGCAGGTTGCAATTTGCCGCTTCTGTGCATGCGCGTGACATCATTTTGCATGTCTGTGCATGCGCAAGCGGCAAAACCCGGAAGCAACCCTTTCCGGTACTTCCGGGTCACTGCGGGACACAACCTGAAAAAACGTAACATGAAGCAAATGTAACATGAGGTATGACTGTAGTAACAATTCAGAACCCAAGTATGGGCTAATCTTCTATTTTAAACACTCAGCTTTCAAATGCAAGGTTCCCCCCCCCCAAATTTGGTCAATTTGCTAAGCGTTGCATCACTTTGTCACAATCCCCTTTCCCCCTTGATTCCTGACCAATTCACCTTGTCCCAAATAAATATAAAAGTCCCGTAGCACCTTGAAGATGAATAAACATATCGCAGCATGAATTATATGAAGCTCAAACCTACTTTGTCAGATAATAATAATATAATAATAATAATTTATTATTATTTATACCCCACCCATCTGGCTGAATTTCCCCAGTCACTCTGGGTGGCGGCTTCCAACAGAACACTAAAATACAATAACCTATTAAACATTAAAAGCATCCCTAAACAGGGCTGCCTTCAGATGTCTTCTAAAAGTTTGGTAGTTATTTTTCTCTTTGACATCTGGTGGGAGGGCATTCCACAGGGCGGGTGCCACCACTGAGAAGGCCCTCTGCCTGGTTCCCTGTAACTTGGCTTCTCGCAGCGAGGGAACCACCAGAAGACCCTCGGCACTGGATCTCAGATGCAATTGTCCCATTTGGGGTGGGAGAAGGGGGCAAATTGAGAGATCCCAATGATAAGCTGTCACACTACCTATTTAGTATTTAGCAAAATCTTGCACTAAAGTGGAACTAGTATCTGAAACAATGCTGCTCTGTTTTAAGGCTTGCCTGAGATCTTTTTCTGCACTGCATGATCTATGGGGTGCAAGGTGTGTCCCAACCCCTCTGCAACATTACAGAGGTTCCTGGGGTGCAGCTGCGAGCTCTGCACGACCCCCTTATTTTTGCCTCTGGACTCTGGAACCTTGATCTATTGTCACTCAAGTAAGAGACTAGAGTCAGCTGAGCCCTGTTTGGTGCAATTCTCAGACCTATGTTGCATCACAGTTGCATAACCCTTCTCATGACATCTAAACAACTAGCCAAGCCCTGGGTTATTGCCACCAAACAGATACAAAAAGAGTTTTCCGGCACCGAATCAAGCCGTTGTTCCTGCATAACAAGCGAGGGAACGAGAAAGGGGGAATGGGCTGTTTCTGTCCCCCGTCCCCTTTATATTTCCACTTCCTTCATCTGAGGTCTTTAAACGAAGGCTGGAGGGCCACCCGTCAGAGATACCCACCCTGCGGGGCGTCGATCACCCTAGGATCAATTCCATGATTCTAGGAAATGCCTCCACATGCTGCAGAGGGCAGCAATTATGTACATATCAGGCTGTGTCCACGCACATAGTGGTTATATATAAAAACCATCTTCCTATCCTACCAGTGAAATGCTGGTTCAACTTTGAAGGGAAAAGCCTGGAAGAGCTTCAGAGCTGCTGGTTTTCCATTAAGCAAGACCAAACAAAAGTCCTGCCTGGTTCACTCTATTGGTCAGGAAATCTTGGGGCGACTTAATCATTCAGAGCAACAGGACACCTCAGCTGCTTTTAGCCACATATTGTTCTAGGCATATCCTCCATTCCCACCTGGCTTCCACTTTGAACAGATGAGTCTGGGCATATCCTTAAAAGACAGTGTTACAAGAAGATACAAAATCAGGCTTGGGGAAAAATGCTTTGTTGATGTTTGCTGCTGCAGCTGCTGCTTTCCATTCTTTTTCGTTCGTTCGTTGTTTGTTTGTTTGTTTCATTTCCCCCCGTTTTATTTTATAAGGGACCCCAGTTTCAGAAGCAAAAAGGACTTGTGGAAACGACAACTGCTTAAAATGGAACCCTGTTGTTACTTGGTAAAGCCTCTGTACCTTTGTTATACTTAATTGTATACCTGTGTATGTAAATATAAGGCATTCCTATTTTGCAGTCCAGAACAAAAAATAAATAAAAAATAAAACTATTTGTAATATAGAATAAAGTTTATTAAAAAAGAACATGAAAAGAAGCAATAATTTTGTGACGGCTCAGCTGATTGTGTGTGAGTGGTGCGGGGAGAAGCTTTTTCACACAAACGGTTTCTCCTCGACAGCTTTAGGAGAAGTGCGACCCAAATTGCCAGGATGTTCTCCTGCGCAAATTCAGCTTGAAAAGATGGGAGCTCCACAAAGCACGGGTCTAGAATAATGGGAGCTGCAGTATCTGGAAGTGTCAAAGGCTCCTCGTTGCTGTGCTACAAGATGGAGGGAAGGACTGACTGAGCATGTAAGACGAGAAGCTTGCACCCTAACTAACACTGCCACTGAGGATTTGATGCTACAAAATGTGGCAAAAGGCATGGTCCTTCTATTCCTCTGCTCCACTGAGCTAGGGGCTATCATACATCCTGGACGTATCTGGGTTTCGTCCATCAGAAATAACGCCTGTGAGGAATTTCCAAAAGCCAGTTAAAATGTCCAGGAAAACCTAGGCATATATCAGAAGTGATTTATTTTAATTTTTTTGGTGTGTTTATTAAATAATAGCTCAAAAACTTCTTTTTCTTTTTGGTGATTTTGCAGAAAAGCTTTGCCCCCCCCCCCAAGCTCAACTTTTCCTAACTGCATAGCTGTCAACTTTTCCCTTTTCTTGCGAGGAATCCTATTCAGAATAAGGGGATTTCCCTTTTTAAAAACGTTGACAGCTATGCTTAACTGAGCATTTCCCTTATTTTCATCCCCACACCAACTGCAGTTTGTTAACCTATGCCCTCAATCACAATTTTTTTTTATTTATTCCTTCATTCATTCTCCACATTTGACCCTGACGGGGACTCAAGGTGGCTTACAGGTAAAAATAAATAAATAAGGCCAGCTAAAAACATAGGGGGAAAGCAATAACTAAAAAAAAAACAAAACCCAACCATTAAACAGGGATAGAATTATAAGCACTCAGGCACATATACCGTACAGGTAATTACAGTGAAAACAGCACAGCACTGGCCCTTCCACTAAAAACAGTCAGTTCCCAAAAGCCTTTAAGAAAGTATGTCAGAAGGCCGAGGAAGTAGCCCATCTAACTTTGCAAACACACGTGAACACATTCATTTGTTTATTGCATTTATAGCCCACCGAAATTGGCCGCCTTGCCCAGCCCTACACAAAGCCTTTGCTCCCTATAATGAAAGTATTGTGTGTGTGTGTGTTTACAAAAGGCCACAAAGGTTTGTGTTAGAAACAATACAAGCTTGACCACCTTTTCTTCTGTTTTATTGTTATCTGCCAACTTTGTGGTGGCGCTTCCATTCACAGTTTGTTTGTTTTTTAAACTATGAAGAGGAAAAGAACCCAAGAGCCTTTAATCTCATTTTTCCAGATGTTTTGCCTCATCAGGTTTAATTTACTGTGCCGTCATTTTGCCGGCCCTGCAATTTCATTCCTTTTTCTCCGCCTGTCCCAGAGATCTTTAACGGGAGATTTGTAAGGTGTGGAGTGAAAGCATAACCTACCACAATAGTTATTGTTAAGTCGTTTTCCAGAAAGGAAAAGAGAAGCTGGGAGGGAGGGACGCGTTCTGCGAATTGTGGAGGAAACCCTGATCAAAATACTGTAGTGCACATTCAGAATCAGGTGGATTTAATTTAGGACCAGGGTGGGGGCAAACTCTGGCTAAGGATGACGGAAAGGAATTCGACTCAGCTCTCGTTCGAAGGTGAACCCGATCCACCCTTTCGGAAATGATACCTGAACGAAAGCACAACCGTTCTTCACACCAGTATCTTCATGAGGACGTTAAAAAACAAATCACAACTGAATTGAGGTGGTGCTGCAAGGAATATTTCTCTCAGTGTTCTAAGGGATCTTACAGAGCTTTCTGTGTGCAGCAGATTTGATCTTTTATCGTTATTTGTATACACACACACACACACACACACAAATGATCCAAAAGAAATCCAGGATGTTGGACTAGATGACCCTTTCCTGTTCAACAATTCTATGAAGCTGTGCAAAGCAGCTGGGGCTATAAGCAGGGGACTGCCTATTTAAAAACAGGTAGATCAGGAACATTTTCTACTCTTCAGCTACATTCCGATATTGATAATATATGTGTGTGTTCCATGTGACAGCCCTTGAGATATTTGAAGATGGCTACCATATCTCCTCTCAGTCTCATCTTTTCCAGGCTAAACATACCCAGCTCCTTCAACCGTTCCTCATATGGCATAGTTTCCAGACCCTTCATCATCTTGGTCTCCTTCCTCTGCACACCTTCCAGCTTGCCAACATCCTTAAATTGTGGTGCCCAGAACTGGACACAGCTTATTACTGTAATAAACAAAAATATGCCCTTATTCCCTTATGGGGAACACAAGAGCCCTCATAAAGTCCTTTGTAGGTTCTCCATCAGTCGGAGGAAAGAACAGAGGTCAACCAGAGAATATTGAGAAGCAAAGCAGCTAGGAAGCCTGATCTTTATTGATCTGTTGCAACAGGGTGCTCCCCTCACCCGCAGGAGAAGGAGGAGAACCCAGAACAAAGGTGTGTCTGCCCTTATATAGACATTTTAAATTGCCCACCTTGGAGTCCTAGACCACCCCCAGAAACATCATACCTACATCACAGAAGGGGTGTAGCTCAAGACCCCCCCCCCAGATACATCATACCTACATCACAGAAAGGGTGGGCTAAAGCAGAAATCTGAGTGGGTTGTTTACCTCATAATATGAGTGGGTTATTTACCTCCTGTCTGGCAAGTTACCTGTTAATGTTTACTGGATTGATACCC